TGTTTATGTACATTGCTGGATTTGATTTTCTAGCATTATTAGGAATTTTATGTTTAAGTTCATGAGGGATATTGGTCTTTGGTTTTCTCCTTGGGGTACTTTTTTTTGTAATATTAGCTTTATAAAATGAGTTTGTAATGTTCCCTCTTCTACTGTGGAAAATATTGTGTAAAATTGGCATTAATTCTACTTATATGTTTAATTAAATTCTCCAGGGAAGTAAAAAAAAATGGAAAAGAGAGAGATAATGGAAAAATGCAGTAAACTAATTAGGGAGGGATGAGTTTTGAGTACTTATCACCTTTGCTTTAATGTAATATATTCAGCTGTGAATTTTCCTCATTTAATTTTTAATTAAAGCTGTGTTTAACAGCTGGAATGCACAATCCCAGAAAATTCAGGAACTGTCTCTCATGTGCCAATGCGAGGCTTCAGCACACCATGGTACCAAATTGATGGTAGGGAGAGCATGCTTTTATTCATTTTTTAAAAAATTTATGTTATTTTTTAAACAGTAGAATTAGGAATTTTTTTTAAGTGTGTTTTCAGATAAGAATTTAATTTTAAAAAAACAACTCCACAGAAACTTTGACCCTTGTCTCTTCTCCCTTGGTTGAGAACAGTGTCAGCGGGCTCCCCAAATCCCAGTCACAACCTCCTCCAGCCGGCTTATGCAAGCGGATGGGAGACTGTGATCTCCAAAATGTAACTCGGGTTGGGTCACTCTTTTCCCCAAGTTTTCAGTCACTTTGAGCACAAACTCTCAGGCAAGATTTGAGCTCTACTTCCTTTCCAAATGTCTTCCATTCCTCCAGCTTGTGTCAGGGGTTTTCAAACCCTTCTACAGTGCTCACGTTCCGTGTGTGTGTGTGTGTGTGTGTGTGTGTGTGTGTGTGTGTGTGTGTGTGTTTGTGTTTGAGTGAGTGCGCATGCTGAAGGCCTGTGAAGAGGACAAGATTTGGGGCACCAGCCCTTGCTTTCATCACAGCTGCTCTGACTCTATTTCACACCTTCCAGGGAAGATTTCATTTGGGAAAAAAGAGCATTCTGTTGCTAAAAGCCAAACATTTGAAATGAACCATTTTAGTCCAACAGCATGGCTCACCCCAGTCAAGCACTCTCAAATCTGTATGCTCTCTTAAGACATCTTTTTTTTCATTTACTTCAACTGATGGTTTATTCAGTACTTCCTTTGGGCCAGGCACTGGGCATAAAGCAGCAGACAAGACAGACTGTCCCTCCCTGGGGAGCTCACAGTTTAGAGGAGTGACAATAGATATTAGAAGAAATTCAGAAACAATGCCTTCCCTTTCCCCTCGCCCATCCTTTGAGGTTTCTCACAGAGGCCACAGATTTTATAAAATCATTTGACCTGCTTTTCCTACTGACCAGAACTCCCTTCTCCACGTGAACCTTGCGTGTCAAGGATGTTTGTTGCTTTCCCTGTCCAGCACCCTTTCCCTCACCTCCAGTTGACAGTACCTGGAACAGCCTTTGGGAGAACACCCCTCTGTTCCCTCTCTCTCTCCCAGCTCACTGGGTTCCAGTTGGTCTCCAGGAGTGAGCAAGTGACCCGAGCCTGGCCATCTGGCACCTAGACTCCTCCTTAGTCATAGCATCTGGTTCAGATCTGACCACCCCTGTCTACAAAGATTGGTCTGAGATGGATAAATGATCCCAAATGGCCCATAGTGAATCCCAGACATTGTAGGAGCTTCAGGAAACAGATGCTCCCTTTTCTGCTGACTTTAAGCCCGAAAATATACACATCCAGAATTTTTGGCAACAAACCTGTTATGCTGTGGAGAGTGAAGCCAGCATGGAGGAAAGCAGACCTAGATGATGAGAAGAGACAGGACAGTTTCGATGCTGAATGCTTGGATCAAGCAGCCCTGCAGCCTGACCCCTGGACATCACAGTTCCTTCAGCCATTAATTTCCCCTTTGGCTAAGTTAATTCTAAGTCAGCTTTTCTAAAAAGAATGCTGACTAATTTGCCATAGCAGAGCAGTTCTAACCTGGGCTCTCTAAAGCCAAAAGCTGGTATTTCTCTGACTCTAGCTCATTTGCTGCGAAGGAGCCCGGGCCTCTCCAGAGTTCTTCCCAGTAAGACACACTCCTCATGTGTGGTCGGCAAGCTATTCCTCTGCCATTTCTTTCTCTCCCACAAGGCTCTCTGGGGGTGAGGGGCCCCCTTTTCTGCAGAAGCTGAGAATCCTAACCCTGTCTCAGCCAGCCATCAAAGCAGCTGAGAGCCCATATTGAAGTCAGGGATATCCCCACCCTCTTAAGGCACTTCTTGCCTGGATCCAGGAGCTGAGGTCGCTGGTGGTCCAACCAAGGGCGTAAGGGTGCTGCTCCTGATCGTTTTTCTTCATAGCTCCACGCATGACGCCCTTGTCTTGTGCCAGGCACTATGCTGGGCATTTTACATTCGTTCTCGTACGTAATCCTCACAGCAACCTGAAGGTAATGCTGTACCCCCACTGAACAGAGAAAATTCCAGGCTCCAGGGCTAGTAAAGAGCCGAACAGGATAACCGGACAGATGTGCTCAAGCACTGCTGGTGAATTGTGGCCACTAGGGATGGAGGGTAGCTTAAGTGTCGAAGGGGACGAAAAAGGAACATTTGGGACTGTAGGAAATTGAAACGATGGCCTTGGAAGCTACTTAGGGGTGAGACTGGGCGCGGCGCCGGGGCGGGCTAGAGCGGCAGTATGCCTCGCTACGATCCCTGGGCCACAGGGTTTTCCGCGCGCTGGGAGTCGGCTAGCGGGTGGGGGCGGCAGGTGGGGCGGGGCGGGGCGGGGCGGGGCTTCCCTGGGCCCGCCCCTTGCCCAGGTGAGGCGTCCGCCACCCGGGCTGGAAGGGGTGATGTAACTCCTCGGTGCTCACGAGGTGTAGGGTTCCCTGGCCGTAGGGCCAGGCCTGTTTGGAGCCCCGGCCTTCGGCGACACGAAGGGTGGAGGGAGAGGGTGCCGCGCCCTGCGCGGCCCAGGTGTCGTCTCCGGAGGCGGAGTTTGGGAACCGGGCAGCGGGAGATTCCCGGCCAGACTAGACGGCGGGCGTCGAGGGGACAAAAGCCAGCCAGACGAGGCAGAGCCGGGCGGCGCGGGGAGTGCAGAGGGCAGGCAAAGGCCCAGGGCCGCCGGCATGTTCTCCCGAAACCATCGGAGCCGGGTCACCGTGGCCAGGGGCTCCGCCCTGGAGATGGAGTT